AGAGTTCAGTCAAGCCAGCTGTCAGACGCCGGGCAAGGGGGTGACTTTGTGACATTGGCTTCTTACGCTCAAACATGTCCTTGACAGACACCTGACTGTGGGCAGATGAGCAGGAACTGCTCAAGGCGAGAGACGGAGGGGCGGATGGTTGAGAGGGGGCAAGGAGGACAGCAGTGGTTAACGTGGCTGAAGATGCTGGACCAGGAGGAGGATGGCGGCTTTGAGTTTGTGTGCTGCTTGTACTCATGTGTTGATCCCATAGGCGTTTGTGATGTGCGATCATGTGCCTTCGCAAAGCAGTTGTACCTAGGTGGATGTTGGACTTCCCACAACTCAGTTTCTTTTGGCACAGGTTGCAAATGGCATCGCTGTTGTCAGAGGCAGACACACAAAAAAAATGCCACACTGCTGAGCTCTGCAATGACGGCATTCTGGTGGTGGCAACAGCATGCGTTGATTGGCGTGCTGTCTGGCTGACCCCAGGTACCGATGCATGCTGTCTGACTGTGCCACTAGCTCCTTGCGATGACCTCCCCCTGCTTCCAACTCGTCTCCTCCTCCTCCTCTCTGTCTCCCCATCTGAACTTCCACCTGTTCTTCTTCTCTTCTAGCGGGCACCTACGTGACATCCACGGACGTGACATGCACAGACGCATCGTCATCATCAACCGCTTCACTTGTATCTGACAACTCAGCAAAGAAAGATAGATATATATATATATATATAATATAAATATGTTTGTAAGTATTGTGTGTATGTGTGAGGGGTGCAGTGGATGTCTGTGAGGGATGTAGTGTGTATGTGAAGGGTGCAGTATGTGTGTGTGATGGATGCTGTGTTTGAGGGGTGCTGTGTGTAATGTGTGGGGGCTGTGTGTATGGGTGTTGTGTGTGAGGGTGCTGTGTGTAAGGGTGCTGTGTGTGATGGGTGTGAGAGTGCTGTGTGTGATGTGTGTGAGAGTGCTGTGTGTGATGGGTGTGAGAGTGCTATGTGTGATGGGTGTGAGAGTGCTATGTGTGAGAGTGATGGGTGTGAGAGTGCTGTGTGTGATGGTGTGAGAGTGCTATGTGTGATGGGTGTAAGAGTGCTATGTGTGATAGTGCTGTGTGTGATGTGTGTGAGTGTGCTGTGTGTGAATATTAGAAGGGATTGTGTGTTTGGGGGGTAAAAAAATAATAAAATAAAAAATAAATAAGCAGGCATTATATCCCCCCCACCTTCTTACCTTTAGCCTGGGGGGGGGGGAGGTCTGGCACGGTGGTACCTGGGAGGGGGGTTCAGGCACGATCACATTATCCCTGGTGGTCCAGTGATGAGTGAACCATGGCAAGATAGAGCTCCGCCGGGTCCTCTCCCTCCCCAGCCGCAGGTCTATCACAAGGGGGCCGGTGAGGGAGATCATAAAGTAACACAGCGGGACCGGCGCTCGGATAGTACGGGCCCTGCATAGACCGGCAGGGGATGTCCTGTGACCTTCCCTGCCGGCCTCGGCCCATGGCCACCGCAGCCCACCGGGCCTGCCTAGAGTGAATAATTACACTGGCAGTGTTTAGAACATACTTATTCCTGCATATACAAACTTCTTCCTCTATTCTTATATTTATATACAATATAGATATAGTTTAACTATATATATAGGCAGTAAAGATTACACTAATTGCATATATATATGTTTACTATGTATTAATCTATGTTTATTATGATTTTTCCCTGCTTTTATGTTTTATTCTCTGCTTTTTTATTCCCTATTTCCTCCTGATCTCCTTCATTCTCATGTAACATTTGCCCACACTATCTCGCTTTACCAATATGGCATATACATGTTCCCCTGAGCTGTTTTGGAGAGAGGGGATGGTCTGGTGGCGAGGTTGTAGGAATGTTAGGCAGGACGATGCACTGTTTATATGGCGCCACCCCTCGCCACCTCAGACCTCCTCCTTGGATGACCTTTCCCCCCTCTCCCTTTGCAGACAGGCGCATGTGCACCAAGTAATGGGAGTGTTCATGGCGGATTGGGTTGCCGCAAGATTGGAGCCGGGTGATGTATGCGGCGATCCACAATGTCATTTCTGCCAACCATTGTAGGCTGCCCAATGACTTCCGCCAACCAACACTGCCCACCAATCATATTGGTAGATAAAAAGAGCACCATAATTTGTCGAATTACACATTAAACTCTCACATGAATGCTAATAAGGACAATTAAAGAGACTTTCAATCTCCAGCATTGGATAATCACCAATCCACGTGGCCTATGGGGAAGAACCAAAAGGGATTTAAAAGGGAAAGATCCTCATACACTATAGGTGTAGGTACAGTAGGCGGAGGTGTACCTGCCAGAGGGATTTCAGGCTGCAAATGAGCCATACGTATTAGGAGCATATTGAAAGCCTGGGCAAATTGATCCATACTGTGATCATTTTCCTCTAGCTTTCTTTCGCAAGCTACTATGTGCTGACACAAATCTGCAGGATCTATGGCCCTGTCGTATTGTTAGGATTATAATTGATCCAGCACGCAGAATTCTATCACACCCTTGAACTCAGGATAGCGTCTTAGCAGACCTTAGAATAGTCGGACTTAATGTACCAGAGAATAGTCAGAATACTGGCCGAGGTCAGGGACACAGAACGAGACACAACGATGAGGAAAGCCAAAAGTCAAGGATACCAGAAATCAGGGAAGTCGAAATAAAGCCAAAGTCAAATACCAGAAAAACACGATCAGGAACACACTCTTGGAAAACCAGCTAGTGGAAACCACGACAGGGCAATGACTATCAGGTAACTTGGGCATAAATAGACCTCCTTCAGCTCCGATTGGCTGTACCTTGCTTTTGACCCCAGAACGTGTGTGTACGCCATCTGCATGATGTCACATGAACTTCGGTGTCTTGCTGAGGACGGAGGTGGGGCTATTTAACTGCGTGAGTCCACAGCGGCCGGCGTCCATTGATATGCTGCGATGTTCAGGAACTGTACCAAGTAAATATTATTTTCACGTTTTATATATATGGAAATGAGGGATACATGACATATGCACAAGATAATAGAAGGACCTGTTTTGGAAACTGACATTTACAATATCCAGATGGGGGTGGCGTGGCTAGCTGAGCAGCTAACAAGACGTGTTGGTGTGGAGCTCCGGCTGTTTAAAACGACAAATTGCCACAAATTTGCAGCAATCGGACCAGAAAACTAGCCTAATACTGATCCAGATACCCCCGACATCAAGAAACATAAGAAACTAACCTGCCTGGAGGGCTCATATACGCCTGACATCAGACGGTCCTTCAATAGGCCGCAAAAGCAGACACAGACTAAGATGGCATGGGTTGGTAACCAAAGCTCCAGTGACTCGGAGGCATCAGCCCAAGAAAGGGGCCCCCCGACCACACAGACCGCCAACGCGGTGTACCAGATGGAAGACTCCGACTCTGACAACTCGCCCTCTACAAAAGGCGATATTAAAAAGCTATTACTAGACCTACGGAGGGTATGGAAGTTGGATCTGGACGAGGTGCGGTCTGAGATAACCGGAGTCACAGCGAGTCTGGGAGCAGTGGAGACTAGAGAAGGGGACAGAGACATTCTCATTGCTGAGACCCAAGCCTAAGTGACCTCCCTGACCCAACAACTCCTACGACTTACCCGCACGGTGACCACGATGGAAGCCAGGCACCGGAAACAATAGGCCCAGAAGCCTTGCTGGAGTTTACAAGCAAAATGGCGATCGCGATGGGAGCAAAGAAAAATGGCGAAACATGGCCAATCACAGCGGCATTCAGGATCCAGAAGGCTGTGGCCCTCCCCGCAGACACCACCAGGGACATTATCGCACTTACACGAGACATAGCGGTAAAAGCGACAATTATGGCCCAATCAAGGAAGACGCCCACCACCACGGTGGATAACCTTCACATCAAGGTATTTGATGACTTACCATTTGCAACGCTGCTAGAAAGGAGAAGATTCATGCCAATCACACGGCAGCTAAGAGACCGCGGTATCAGATACAGATGGGGGGCGTCTGGAACACTGGTGGTGCCATACGGGGACAGAGTTTTTTCGCTGTCAGCAGTGGAAGACCCCACGAACTTCCTACAGGAGCTCCAACTCCCTCAGCCCTTACCCCCTGGACAGGGGAGAAGCAAGACCCCCAGCACCACGGGCAACAACGCAGCACGGGAGAGAGGCTCCGAGGGGACAGGGGCACAGAGAAGGCCACATCCACAGAACCCTCCATAGGACTGTTAGAACGCTACAGAACTGAACACACGCCTGCCTACCTGCAAGTTGGCGACACTTGGGTGAACTAAGCTCTTTACAGGCCCTCAAGTATCTATCTTGTCAATTACCCCTGTTTTTATTATACTTCCCCCTTTTGTTTGTTTCTTCCCTTTCAACTTAAAATATTTTATTCAGAGGTGCATCATCTGATATCGCAAGGGTAGCCCCAATGTACCGGACACCTCAGGCCCAACACTTTTACCACATGGCCCCTGCTGGAGACATAGGGAAAGACGTGGACGAGCAAGTGTACCAGCGAGAGGGAAAAGGAGAGGGACACGGCACGTACGGCGGGGAGAGCAGACACCATACCATTAAGGTACACTGCGCAGCAGCCCCTAAGCAGCTAAAGATACACTCTAGACCCATATAGATAGCCTATTCCACTGTGATCAATGGCTGCCCTTCTGAGAAACACTAGAGCAGGGAATAAAATATCCCCCTTAGACTACACTGGGCAATGCGCTCACAGCACAGCAAATCACACACAAGCAACCAAATGAAGGATATAGAATAGGGCACGTGAACATCAGCGGGCACAACACCACCTCAAAGACTGGGAGAGGTCTAGTGACACATGGGGACAGGCAGTGGTGTATCCTGGTTTTGTGCTGCCCTAGGCAGGACAAAACTCAGGCGCCCCCCTCCCCCCCGCGCCACCCCCACCCAACCCTTCCCCCCGCCCCACCTTCTAAATACACACACACACAGTCAGACACAAACACACACACACACAGTCAGACACAAACACACACACACACACACAGTCAGACACATACACAAACACACACACACACAGTCAGACACATACACAGTCAGACACAAACACACACACACACAGTCAGACACACACACACACACACATACACAGTCAGACACAAACACACACACAGTCAGACACACACAGTCAGACACAAACACAAACACACACAGACACACACAGTCACATACACACACACAGTCAGACACAAACACACACACACACACAGTCAGACACATACACAGACACAAACACAGTCAGACACAAACACACACACACACAGTCAGACACATACACAGACACAAACACACACACACACTCACAAACACACACACAGTCAGACACAAACACACACACACACACAGTCAGACACAAACACACACACACATTAACTTTTTTTTTATTTAAATCCCCCCCCAACCTCCTTACCTTTGGGAGTGCTGGGGGGGGTGGGGGTCTCTCTCCCTGGTGGTCCAGTGGCTGCAGGGCGGGCGGCGCTGGCAGGCGGGCGGCCGGCGAGGGAGCACTTCCCATGAGCTGACTGCTCAGCTCCCTCGCGCGTCGGCTGCAGAGTGAAGCTGGGAACCGGAAGATGACGTCATCTTCCGGCTCCCAGCCTCACTTTGCGGTGCGCGAGGGAGCTGAGCAGTCAGCTCATGGGAAGTGCTCCCTCGCCGGCCGCCCGCCCGGCCGCTCGGGATGTCAGTTAGCCGCAAGGCTAACAAGGCATCTGCCCTGGGCATTTGGGGGGCGACGTTTTTTGCCGCCCCCTGAAAAATGCCGCCCAAGGCAAATGCCTTGTTTGCCTCGCGGCTAATACGTCCCTGGGGACAGGGCATAAAGGAGTGAGAGTGACCACTGTACTGGGAGATGGGATACAAGAATGTGGATGAGGTAGAGCAGACAATAAGGGACACAAGGTGAGACATACAACACGAACGGACGGGATATAACTGCTGACGGGCGTGCTATAACTGGGAATGCAGCAGCAGCGTTAAGCTAAGTCACATAATAATCCCGAGCAGTGACGGCTTATAAAGCAGTAAAAGTTGCCATCCTTCGGCAGCCACACCAAGACTAAAGAAAAGCATGAAAGTATTCCCGCTCACCTCCAGACATATGTCAACTCTCAAGCCGACCTTAAGTCGCCCACACCCAAGAATTTTTTATTATTATATTCACTATCTTCACACTTTTAAACTATTACTTCAATATTCTGACCTATTATCTTAAAACATTGCAGCCTGTATAATGAAGACAACTGTTAACGATACCATGTGTAGCCGTTTCTCACTACTAACCATTATCTATATTATAGTATGTTTTGAATTGACCAGTTAAACTACCAAAATGTGCAACTTAATCCTATATTACAACATTGTATGCATTGAATTGCCAGCAGTTGCTGTTGTGGCACTGCGAGCATGAATGTTAATCTCTTTGCACAATCAAAATAAAGAATATATAAAAAAAAAAATTTTTAAAAGAATATCCAGATTAACCCCTTTAGGACGGAGTCAATAGTGCACGTTCTGGTCAAAACAAAACGTAAACAAAAACTGGAATTTGCACTATATGTCTGTTCAACCGTAATTCACCGCTGTCACATTAAGTGCACCCACACTTATTATATATAATTTAGTTCAGGAGAAACAGGGCTTTAATTTATCATTAACTATTCATATATGGAAAATAATTTATTAAGAATAAAATTTTAAAAAATGTGAAAAAATAAGATTTTTTTTTTAAATTTATATTTCCATCTGACATTTTAGCTGTGAATGTCATAATACTGTTAGGTTTTACTGCAGAAAAATGCAAATATTTGTAATCAGCGATGTCTCACGACTACAACAGTGCCCCCATTAACAGGTTTTATGGTGTTTTGGAAAGTTACAGGGTCAAATATAGAACGTTCCATTTTCAAATTGAAATTTGTCAGATTAGTAATGTTACCTTTGAGATGGTGTGGTAGCCCAGGAATGAGAATTACCCCCATAATGGCATACCATTTGAACAAGTAGACAGCCCAAGGTATTGAAAGTGGGGTATGTTTAGTATTTTTTAGTACCACTTAGTCACAAACACTGGCCAAAGTTAGCGTTCATATTTGTTTTGTGTGAAAAAAGCAAAAAACGAATATTTGGCCAGTGTTTGTGACTAAGTGGCTACTAAGAAAGACTGGACATACCCCACTTGCAATACCTTGGGTTGTCTACTTTTGCAAATGGTATGCCATCATGGGGGTAATTCTCATTCCTAGGCTACCATACGCTCTCAAAGGCAACATAACCAATCTGGCAAATTTCAATGTAAAAAAAAATGAAATGCAAGCCTTATATGTGACTCTCTAACTTTCCAAAACACCATAAAACCTGTACATGGGGGATACTGTTATTCTCAGGAGACTTCACTAAACACAAATATTAGTGTTTTAAAACAGTAAAACATATTACAACAATAATATAGTCCATAAAAGTGCCGTTCGTTTGTAAAAAAATGCAAACAACATCACTTTTACTTAAAATATCATCGTTGTAATACAATTTATCATTTTGAAACACTAATGTCTGAGTTCAGCGAAGTCTCCCGAGTAAAACAGTAACCCCTATGTGCAGGTTTTATGGTGTCTTGGAGAGTTACAGGGTCAAATATAGTGCTTGCGAATTAAATTCTCTGCACTTTCTCCCTGTGTTGTCAGGCATGTCAATCAAATTTTAATCAAATCACATAATTATGTTAAAAGATTACTTAAATATACACGTAGAATTTTAATACATATGCATTTATAGGTATTTAAATTCTACGTGTAGATTAATGTAATCTTTTATATGTATTTATCTATATATATATATATATATATATATATTTATTTGCGGTTATTTGTATTTTATATATAGATAGATATATATATAGATTGTCATTCTAAGTGTATTTTGTTACCAATATATATATATATATATATATATATATATATATATATATATATATATATATATATATATTAATAACAAAATACAGTTAAAATGAAATTACATATGAATATATAATTTATATTAAATTTTGTTTCAATATTTTATTTATTTTATTATTTTATTTATTTATTATTGTAATTATACATATATATATATATATATATAATATATGTGTATATATCTATTATATATAATATACATACATATTATATATATGTAACGTCATTCTAAGTGTATTTTAATACTAATATATGTACTTATATTAATATTAAAATACACTTTGTATGACGTTACATATATATATAATATATATATACATATATTATATATATAAAAATACTTTTAATTAATTTTAAACATGTCTAATAGTATTTTTTTTACACCTCCTACCAGCAGGGGGGCTGTCTGACATTTCAGACAGCTATAGGGGGCCATGTGATCGCTCTTTAAGAGCGATCACATGGCCCCCGGGGGCCTCATTTGCCCGGGGAGGGCTGCCAGGCAGCCCTCCAGAAGAGGATCGCGGCAGAGATAAGTCCACCGGACCTCCAGGAGCTGCAAGCCGTTACGGCGTTCTATGCCGCCGCAACGGCTTTAAAGCCCTTTTTGTGCGGGACGGCATAGAACGCCATAACAGCGTTAAGGGGTTAAATGAAGAAATCTACAGCTCTTTGTTCGGCACCTCTTCTACATCTTACTTTTCTGACAATCATTGATATACGTTCTGTCTTTTACACCTGACACGCAGTATAGAGAATAATAATGCTGTCACAGACATTTGGCTACAAATCGGTAAATTTTGGGTATAAACAGGTTAATCTGAAAATTACGGTCATTTCCCTTTGTAGCTAAGAAGAACACTTGTACTGTTGACTTATGTAAATATTTGCATTAGTTTAGTGAAAAGCAACCAATCACAGTGTTATGAGTCAAATTACACAGCATGGGAAAATTCCAAAGAACTTTTGAAGCCAACCAATTAGAGTGCTGTGACGGGTAACCTTACCTGTCAGTCTCTTCATTTACCTTTCAGAGCACTCTGATTGGTTGGCTTGAAATCAGAGTGCTCTAAGTCAAATTGCAGGGTGTGGGAAGCACTGTGTCCTCGCTGGGTGAAGAGGTGAAGATGGATTACTTTTTATTCGTCGATTTGTTTTTTTTCATCTGTTTTTTTGAGCTCTGATTTTTATTTTATTTTACTGTTGCGACGGGTATTATGGATTTTTATTTGGACTTTTTGGGGGCTGAAAAAGAAGATTTTAGAAAAAAAAAAATCAAATGGCGAGTTATTTTTTATTTACAAGTATATAGTTTTCTTGTCGTCCCCCCTCACTATTTTTAGGGTGAGGGGGGTAGGTAGGTCTTTATTAAAAAATGTTTGGGTGGCAGGGGTGACTAGGGGCTTAGGGACCCTTAGTCACCTGGAGGAGGGGGTTTACATTTAGCCCCCACCCTTCGGCCCTTTTATTTAGGGCCCACACCTGCTGCTCATGGGTGGGGTCCAGGGGGGACAATAGGTCCTCTCCATTTTCATTTAGGGTCCCACCCGCCCCTCATGGGTGGGGGCCGAGATGGAGGACGATAGGCTCCCCATTTTCATTTAGGGCCCCCACCCGCCGCTCATGGGTGGGGGGCTGGGGGGACGCTAGGTCCCCCTGCAGTTTAATAGATCCCACATGCGCAGGGGGAACACTAGGGTTTTTTTGTTATTTTTTACAACAGTGAGCAGCCACAAGTCCCCTTTGAAGTATTTTAGGGACCCCACCCACCGCTCAGGGGTAGGGGCTGGGGGGGACACACGTTTTGTTTTGGGGGGGGGGGGTTTAACAGTGAGCAGCTAATAGACATGCCCCTACTCATGGTATAGCGAGTAGGGGCAGATTATTTACTAATACTAATTTTTACTTAGTATTAGTAAATTTGGCTGAAAAACCAATTTAGGTATTTCAGCCTTTTAGTAGATAGCTCCCTAATACCGTGGGATATATGGAGTTTCTGCTAAGCGGCTGCAAGATACAGCAGCAGAACGAATCGGATCGGAATTTAATTAATTCAAATGAAATTCCGATCCGAACAAAGACCCGAATTACGTCCTAACACAAATGGAGAAACTGTTCTCATTCTGTTAGGACAAAATTTGGTAATTTCGCCGGCATCCTGTCTAAATGACAGGACGTTCAGGAATACTGACAGGAAGCATCGCAAGATCACAGAGAAAAGGTAAGAATTGTGGGGAAATTTCTCTGACCACAGGAAATGGAGCACACTTTGTTCCTCCATTGATCAGAGATGGTCAGGCGTAGGAAACCTCCCTACTTTGTCTTATGTTTTAAAGAAAACTAGAGCAGACAGGAAGAAATGAAGAACAGATCCTGAC